GCGTGCGTGCGTGCGTGCGTGCGTTTTCCTTTGCTCGCCAATCTGGCCCAAGGCCCTGGCGAAGTCCGGGGCCTCTTCTTGAAGTAGCTGCAGCGCTCTTGCCTCCAGCCAGTCAGTCTCAGGCAGGTGTTCATCGGCCCCAGCTACCCAACCAGCGATCCGATCCTCCAGTGCGTTGAACAGCACATCGGCACGGCGCCCAAGCCTGGTTCAGATCTGGAACTCTGGCCGTGAAAGCCGGCCGCTTCAGTCGAGGATCCGACGTAGCATATGCCCAGGCGGTGTTGGCCACCTTCGTACACACTCCAACCATCCCCAGAAATGCGCATTTCTGACCCAAGGCAGGCGCATGCTGCGGGGAGAAACGGTCCATCTTTCGCAAGGCCTCAACACAGCCAGGCAGCAAACTCTGTTCCTCACCTGTCTGTGTGTGTTGAGTGGGTCTCTCCGTCTGGCTTGCAACAGTATCTCTGTCTCTGCATACATGCATCTTCTAAGGGGAATGTGGATCTGAAGAAATGAGCTCGAGAAGTTCGGGAAGTGTCCCAAGATTCCAATAGCCACAGCAGCCTAACCCTGACTGCCTCACCAGCAATGTGGTGCATCAACCTCGGGCCAAGCAGAGCACTACCCGGTGTCCGCTCTGACTGCCTTGGACGTTAAACGCACCACTGCGAGATGTAGAAACAAACATGCTGCTGTTGCTCTTGCTCAAAAAATCCTTGCTTGCACTTACCCTGTCTGACACCTCTCCGATCTCCGAGAACTGCCATCACCACGCACTGTGCTGTCCCGCACAATCCAGGGATGGGATGTTCAAGGCTTTCGGGGCTGTGGTGAATATGATGCTGACGATGATGAAGATGACGCGGATGATGAACCGGAGCTATCGCCCGACGCTTCACTTTACAAACTATCCTGTGTTCCATTACAGCAAGTTACACTGCTCTAAAGCCATGCCAGCCATGTCATGCCGCGGCGTGTTGTTGCTTCACATGAAGTCCCATAGACAACAGGATTGGAACTTTGGCCAATCGCATGGCCACCAAGGCTGCGGCACGTCGTCCTTGAAACGCATTGTTGCCTGCGTCTGTCAAGAAATGAAGGTTCTTACTTCCCAACAACTTTTCATCCGCCTGTCAGGCGCGACGCAAGTACAGGAAAGTTCGCCTGCGCCCGGCCGCCAAAGCGTCAGAGGTTCGCTCTTCCCCGTCCAACAACCTCTCCCCGCTCCCGCCGGCCCCCACTTTCTGGCTCACTTTCCTTGGAGACTACTCTTCACCTGCGACCGGACGGAGACGGAGGACGCGAATCGTTTGCACTTACTCGTGCTCTTGCAAAGTATGGATATCTTGCAATGTCAAATTACATGCCCGTGCGCTCGCCGCTGCAGAATAACAGAATCGTGTTGACACGGCCAAACACACATGAATTCACACATACATACACACACACATACATACTTACATACACACATACATACACACATACATACGTACGTACATACATACATAAATACATACATACATACATACATACATACATAAATACATACATACTTACATGCCTACCTACCAGCCTGCCTACCTACCTACCTACCTACCTACATACATACATACATACTGTGTAGATGTAGATGTACATGGACATGTGCATACACATGCACATATACAGACACCAACACATATACCTACACGTACACATCCACATTGACATACAAAAACATATACACATACGCATACACATACAAACACACCTACATACCTACATACATATATACATACATGCATACCTACATACATACATACATACATACGTACATACATGCATACATGCATACATGCATACATGCATACATGCATGCATGCATCCATCCATCCATCCATCCATCCATCCACCCATACATACACACATACATACATGCAAACATGCATACATGCATACATGCATACCCGCATATGTACACACCTGCATGCGTGCATACATGCATACATACATACATACATACATACATGCACACTCACATACCTACATACCTGCATACCTGCATGCCTACATACCTACATACATACATACATGCATACATGCCTGCATGCCTGTATACATGCATCCCTCCATCCATGCATCCATACATCCATCCATCCATCCATCTATGCACACATACATACATACATAC